CTCTGCTTTTCCATCTTCCCTCCTCCTCCCTCTCTCCTCCCTCTCTCCTCCTTTCTCTCCTCTTTCTGCTTCTCCTTCCTCTTCCCTCTCTCCTCCATCTCTCCTCCTCCTTCTCTCCTCCCTCTCTGCTTTTTCCATCTTCCCTCCTCCTCCCTCTCTCCTCCATCTCTCCTCCTCTTTCTCTCCTCTTTCTGCTTCTCCTTCCTCTTCCCTCTCTCCTCCTCTCTCCTCCTCCTTCTCTCCTCTCTCTCCTCCCTCCTCTCTCCTCTCTTCCATCTTCCCTCCTCCTCCTCTCTCTCCCTCTCTCTCCTCTTCTCTCCTCTTTCTGCTTCTCCTTCCTCTTCCCTCTCTCCTCCATCTCTCCTCCTCCTTCTCTCCTCCCTCTCTGCTTTTCCATCTTCCCTCCTCCTCCCTCTCTCCTCCATCTCTCCTCCTCTTTCTCTCCTCTTTCTGCTTCTCCTTCCTCTTCCCTCTCTCCTCCATCTCTCCTCCTCCTTCTCTCCTCCCTCTCTGTTTTTCCATCTTCCCTCCTCCTCCTCCCTCTCTCCTCCATCTCTCCTCCTCCTTCTCTCCTCCCTCTCTGCTTTTCCATCTTCCCTCCTCCTCCCTCTCTCCTCCATCTCTCCTCCTCTTTCTGCTTCTCCTTCCTCTTCCCTCTCTCCTCCATCTCTCCTCCTCCTTCTCTCCTCCCTCTCTGCTTTTCCATCTTCCCTCCTCCTCCCTCTCTCCTCCATCTCTCCTCCTCTTTCTCTCCTCTTTCTGCTTCTCCTTCCTCTTCCCTCTCTCCTCCCTCTCTGCTTTTCCATCTTCCCCTCCTCCTCCCTCTCTGCTTTTCCATCTTCTCTTCTCCTCCTTCTCTCCTCCTCCCTCCCTCTTTCCCCCCTCTCCTCCCTCCTTTCTCCCTCCCTCTCTCTCCCTCTCTCCTCCCCCCTCTCTTTGGTTCCTCCTCTGTTCCCTGCTTGTGTCCGTGTCTTGTTTGATGCTTTAGTTTTTGCCCTCTGTCTCCCTCTCTCCCTCCACTCAGCCCTTCAAAGACGACATGGACCTGAAGCAGGAGATCAGGAGTGAAGCCAGAGTCCCGTGATGAGTACGAGCTCAAGGTACGACTTCAGCATTCACTACACACAACAAAAACAACACAACACACACACACAGCAGGATATTCACAGCACGGGTTTTGTTTTGTACTAGTCACCGATGTCATTTATTCATACTGATCCAATAGGGTTTTCTACATTATTGTCCAAGGCGTGAGTGAGTCTGTCAAAAAGCCAAACTCCAAATCCAAGTTTTAGGATTTGATTAGAATAGGATTGTATTCTCGACATGGGGAGATCCATCAGTAACTGCAATATCATTAATTAAATCTGTTATTATTGTTTAATTAGTAGGAAAAGAAAAAAAAAAGTTGATTGGAATTGTAATAGATTTGGCTTTGTACCAGTAAAGAATGTTAGTCAGGTTGGCGTCATCTTGTGCTCTACTCAATTTCATTTCTCTCCAGCGACTAGGTCAGGAATCAGAATACACTAGACCAGGGGTGTCAAACTCATTTTGGTCCGGGGGCTGTATCCAACCTACTTTGATCCCAAAGGGGCCGGATCAGAAAACTCATGGCATATAAACCCCAAAAATAACAATAAGTTCAAGTATTTGTGCAGAGAAACGCAAATCTATTACAGAAATCTATTTTAATTGATGAACTCTTTCTTTTACAAAATATTATAATATCATAAACAACCTGAAACTTTAAGAAAAATGCAATTTCAACACAATATTTTAACAATAACTTGTTTGCAAACAGGAATAAGTCCATTTTTCTTGTAAAATCCTGAACTCGGCTCCACTTTTCTCATTTTTAACATTTTGTTGATGAGGGTGTCACGGTCAACAGTCAAAACGATCGTCCTTTAAGAGCGTTTGGAAAGAGACAAGTCTTCATTTGTGCTGCTCTGGTGGGAGGGGCCACGTACAGAGACGCTGGAGATGCTGCTATGATAAGCAATGCAGAAAATTACCAATATTTTAATAGAAAACATAATTAAAATATTTTAGTAGAAAATATGCTGAGGGCCAGATTAAAGGTCTTGGAGGGCTGGATCTGGCCCCCGGGCCTTATGTTTGACACCTGTGACTTAGACAGTTCGCAAAAACCCCTGAAGTGCAAGTCCGGGCACCAGCCAATCAGCGAAGAGACATACATTCTGTGTTGGCAACGATTCCCGAGATCGAGGATTTAAAGCTGGAACAAAGAGAATGTTCTGTGAGTTTTATCAAGGGGAACGATGTTATTGTCCTTCTTCCTACGGGATTTGGGAAAAGCTTAATATACCAGTTAGCCCCTTTAGCGGCGCATTACATACGTCACGACCAAATAGCAGCGGTTTAATTTAAAAAAAGTATGAGCGAACGAATCCTAATGCTCCGAGGTCAGACGGTTTCTACGAAGTGAAACCATCTGATGATAGCCTGATTCATCAGCCGATTTTACTTTGTTTCACTTCGTACAAACCGTCTAACCTCGCAGCCTTAGATTTCGTTCGCTCGAAGGTTGGCGGGTACTTTTTTTTTCATTTAACCAGTCGCTGCTATTTGGTCGTGATGTATGTAATGCTCTGCTAACGGTGCTCACTGGTATATTAAGCTTTTCCCAAATCTCGTAGGAAGAAGGTCGATAACGTCTTTCCCCTTGATCAAATTCATCAAACATTCTCTTTGTTCCGGCTTTAAATCCTCGATCTCAGGAATCGTTGCCAACACAGAATATATGGCTCTTCGCTGATTGGCTGGTGCCCGAACTTGCACTTCCGGGGTTTTTGCGAACCGTCTAGTGTATTCTGATACCTGACCTAGTCGCTGGAGAGAAATGAAATTGAGCGGAGGCAATAGGTGGCACCAGCTTGGCTAGTCTGATGAGTCAGGCTCAAAGAATGTATCTAATCCAGCAAATGTGAAGTGTTCATGGGTTTCATCATTCTGAAATCCATGGAGGGCCAAAACTATTTAAGCGATCCTCATTGAGTTTCATTTAGAATTGAAATCAGTTTAATTAATATTGATTGTCACTTATTATGAATATTAGGCTGCAGTCTTACTTGCACTGCTTTGGTCCTGGTTTGAGTCCGTGTTTAGTTCTGATGAAGACTTGGTCTAACTCAAGTCCTGGTCTAGTTTGGATTTGTTTCAAACACTGTATAAAGAAGTGGACCAAGTGAGTGTGACGTCACCCACAGCGTACGGCTCCAGGCAAATGAAGTTCACCGAGGCTAGCAGTTATAGGAGGGAATTTTGAGGATTCAGAATTTATTAATTGACAACATAGTGGAATAAAAACATCTGGATCATGTAGAGCGGGTTAACATGATCTTAAGACCAAAATGATGACTTGTGGACTCAGTGAGTGTGACTTTTTTGACAGACAAAATAGCAGCGAAAAATACCAGGATCATGTAGAGCGGGTTAATATGAACATTTTAAGACCAAAATGACGAGGCTCACACCAGCAGGTACAGAGAGAGGGGCCACAATATTCCAATGTAAGTCAACAGGAGCTAGAGTCAGAAGGAGTCAGAAGAGCCACACATGAACTTCCCATTTGAAACGCAGCGATTAGGGTGTTAGCTTTGTCCATTTATATACAGTCTATCAGCTTATATTTTGTTTATTTTTTTCAATTAAAAATTATATTCAAATGAAGTATTTATATTTACATGATATTATTATATGATGTATTTACATTTGTCCCCAAATTTTCGTCACTTCACTTTTGTCAATTTTCAACAAACTCGAGATCAAACAGTGAAAGTCAACACACACGCAGAGTTCTGTAGTGCAGTTAAGGACAGCAAAGTATTAATGTTAGTGTTAAAGTACGAAAAGTTGACAGAGAATGCCAAGGAGTTTGTCTGATATGTAAAGAAAGTGTGGCGGTTTTCAAAGAATATAATCTGTGTCGTCAGGGTCAAACAATTCTGTTATATGGCCAACCCGACCCTGGCCCCCATCACAGTCAGGTGCAATAATGTGGCCCCCAGAGAAAAAAGTTTGGTGACCCCTGGTCTATACTCTGACAGCAATAGTGACAGAGAGTGGGGCAATGTTTTTTTTTTTGTTTTTTTTCAATACAAAGTGAATTGGAGCCAGATTTGATGGAGCTGGAAGCAACCCCATGTGCACTTCCTATGTGGAACATGGTGGATAGGGGGTTGGCTATGTTCATTTCTCTATACAGTCTATGGTTTTAAGTTTAGTCTTAGTTTAGCTCCAGTTTAGTTTGTTGTGGTGTTGAAGTAGTGTAAGTATGAACACGCCCTAAGATAATTGATTATTATGTTGATATTTTATTTATTCAAAAAGATCAAAATCTCACTCTCTTTTATTTCTCTTCTATTTCCCAGGACCCCACCAACGGCTACTACAACGTCCGCGCCACCACCCACGAGGACGCGCGCCCCCAGTCCCGCGCCGTCCACTACCAGGGCGAGTTCAGATCACCCAACCCGTCCACAGGCCCCTCCGCCGGGCCCTCCTCCACCAGCAGCCCCCAGGCAGCCCCCACCGGAGCCGTGGCCCCCACCGGAGTGCCAGGGTCCAGGGCGGGCTGCTACGACCCGCGCCCCCCGTCCAGGATCTCCCACACCACCTACGCCCACTTCAACACCTACTCCAGAGCTCCGCAAAGCCAGCAGCCGCCCGTGCTCCCATCCCCGTCGGACTATTCAGGAGACTGCGGAATCATGGAGACCTCCGCTCAGATGGGATATGATAACTATGGATACCCCGCTCAGTACGCCACCTACAGGATGGGCTTTGCTCCGACCATAGAGGAGGGCTATGAGATGTACCCCACGGGGCAGGGGGGAGGGCCGGGGCCGTCGCCGGGGCAACAGAGCCCGGAGACGGGGTTAGGGAAGTACGGAAGCAACACGCGGTTTTCCTACTCGTCTCCACAGTCGGACTACTCCTCCCGGCACACGCAGAGGATGCAGACTCATGTGTGAAAGGAGCTCGTGCAAACAGGTGGAGCGGCTGGTCACTGGGGCACTGGATTTATTATCGGATTTATTCTTTTTCTTTGATTTTCACTTAAATTTGTATACTTAAATTTTTTGCAATTATCTACTAACAATATTCAAATAATATTATAGTGACTCATCAGATATGTGCTGAAAGTGAAATGATTGTAAAATTAAACACAGAAAAGTACAAATATTGTTTATAGCTCTTGTGTCACCGTAAGTTTTTTATTTCAAATTTTGCATAGTTTAAAAAGAAATTGCAGTATTATTCATTATATTTATTCTTTACGCCCAAACATAAATAGCCATTGTACTTAACTTTTCTACAGATGCTAACCAATCTGCAACTTTTGAATTTTGGAAAAAAAAAAAGGAAATCTTAGTTGGTCACAGTATTCTGCCATATGATGCAACCATTTCCAGTGCTAATATTGTTCCAAAATTCTATCCTTTAAAATCTCTATGGATGACCAATTTCAGACATTTTCCTTACAATTTTGTGGAATTATTTACGCTTTAACTTTAGATGTCGACAGAATCAAAATCAGTTATGACTTTGAAAACTTAAAATTTGAAATAGAAAGCCTCCACTTCACAGGACGATGTACCAACAGAGACGAGAGAGCAATAGTGGACCTCTGTAAGAGGACCTGTCTGGACCTTTTGTTAAGAAAGACAATCCATCCTTAAAGAGAAATGAAGGGCTCAGTCATCATCTGTTTCCCATCTACAACTCCATCTTCAAACCTAGAACAAAGTGAACAATAGGGGCAGTCAGGTCAGGTGAAAATCCTCATTATGGGCCTGAATGATTCTGCTAATACGTCCCGTCACTCAGGACAGATGAGATTTCTGTTTGTCAGACCGAGCTAAAAAAAAAAAGAAACTGTAAACTAGTAGGTACTTCACAAGAGGATGTACCAACAACACAGACGAGAGAGCAATAATGGACCTCAGTCTGTCGTGCATCTCCACCTAAAAGCCTCGGGCCACTCCTTTGAGGATAGTAAGGGACAGATCTTAGCAAGAGAAAAGAATTGGTTTGAGAGGGGAGGAAAGAAAGACAATCTATCTTTGAACAGAAATGGGGGACTCAGACATCATATGTCTCTTATTTACAACTCCATCCTCAAATCTAAATCAAAACAAGCAAAGAGAAGAATAGGGGTTGCCAGGTCAGGGCCAGAGGTGTGGAAGCTCCATTATGGTCCTGAATGCTAATGCTAATGAGACCCCACATTCAGTGCAAGATCAATAGGCCTAACTAACCAACAGAAACTGTAAACACGTAAATGTGTTAGTTGTAGTTTTAGTGTAGTTAGCAGACATAAGAAAGTGTCCACCAGTATTCCAACCAGAACTGAACCAAACTTTTGTTCCGGCTGACAAGATTGAATTTCTCCTTTTGCCAAACTAGTAGGTGTGTTAGTTTCAGAGTAGATAGACATACAATATAGATAGATATACGGATGTGTCTGACCACAACTAAAGAAGCAGCTTGGAAGAGCTGCGAAACATTTTCAACCTAAATAAACGTTTGTCCAGTTGACAAATTGAATTTCTCCTTTGCCTTACAATTGTAGGTTTGATGGTAGTGATTTGCTTCGTGGTGGATTAGCCTCCACCAAATGTTTAAAGATGTCATACTGTGCTCTAAGTTTTAGACATTTGAAACTGCAATATTGATCTAGAAAGACTTGATAAGCCAAATGCCCTTTCTTTTTCATTAGTTGAATCCTACTTGTGTAATATCTTAAGTAAAAGAAAATCTGAGAAGTATAGAGCAGTGGTTGTGCATGGAGGCTTTTAACTTCAATTTTGCATAATTTGTCTCCTTTAAAAATGACTGAGAATTTTCCGTTCGAAAGCAAAAGTGCCTGCCTAGCTTCGGTTCCAATAACCTTGGTCGCTTTCTTGGAGTTTCGCAATCTTGGATCATTTCTGTTCTACTTTCAGAAATAATTTTATCCAGCAAAATATATATGTGTTACAATTCCAGTAGGGGGCGTTCAACAAAATCAGAGCTCCAGTGACCAGCCCTTACTACACCACCCTGTACAAACTGAGAACTTTAATGTGCCACTTTGAAAAAACTTTACTAACCTTTCAAGAACTTTCACACCCAAAACACAGAACTTTATGTCGAATACATTCAAGGATTTGCAAATTGCATGGAAATTTGGTTCATTTTTCCGAACCAAAATTCATCTGACACGTTTTCACCGTAGTTAGTAGCAATATCCGGCCATGACAACCCCAGAAAATGGGAGCTATAGGGACGAGCAGAAGAACTTCAACCTGCATCCCTCTTTTCTTTCTTTCTTCTCCCATCTCAAACGTGTAAATAAAAACTTTTTGACGACCGTGATGCAGTACCAACCACCAAACTTCCCTCAAATTTTCAAACATTTTCGAAGAACTCCTCAGACAATTGTTTTATGTATCGCAGTGTTTTCGGGGCAGCTTTCCGGACGATGACTTCTGAATCATATTGTTGTGAAAATGGGCTCCCCGGTTCTACAGTGGGACAGCAGAGACCAGAGTGCCAATGCTTTCAAACGGACACACCAGCCATCTTGGATTTTGGGTGTGTATTTATGAAAAAAAAAAAGAAAACTTAAGACAATTTTGTACTTAAAGGAGCTGTAGCAAGTGTCTGTATATGCTCCTTATTTACACGCTGCAAAAAGGGAAAGTCGAGCAGGGTTCAAAATGACCTGAATTCAAAATATTAAACTTTATTTGAGAAGAAGTTGCAATTTGATCGCAGCTCTGACCTACTGTTGTGTTCTTGGGCAAGGCACTTCAACCGCCTTGCCTGTGAATCTGGTGTCAGAGTAAGAGAAGGTCAAGAAGCCATTGGCGCAGATTGGCAGCCTCAGTTCCGTCAATCTGTCCCAGGGCAGTTTGTAGGTAAGCTCAGAATTGTTTTGAAACTGGCTGACTCGAATAATTTAATCCAAGCTATTTTGTGTAACATTTTAGCCAAAAATAGACAAACAAAACATTTTATTATTTCATTTTGATTGGGTTTATTGGACAGAAAAATTACCATACTGTGAGCAGGCTTGCATCTCCACAAACCTGACTCTTGTTCGGTCTGGAGGAAGCTCTCTTCTTGCTTGTTTCCACATGGCTATCTATTTCCATGGAGAATGTTCAGAAGTGTTGTTTTAACTTTCTATTTCCATGGAATAATACAGGAGATGTGCTAACTCCAAGTCCAACTCAAATCACGCTTATGTTACAAACCAGTAAGATGTTTGGAAAGATGTGATTACAACTTCCTTTGGGTTCTGTTCGCGATAGTAAGTCTGAAAAAATCTAGGAAAAATGAGAAAATGTCCCAGTTTTTTTCATCTAAATGTCATTGTAGTGTTCCGTTATGTTCAGCTAATTACAACTACAACCATACCTCAATTTTCATTATTTCCCCATTGACACATAACTCCGAGCGCACTGGGTACATATGATTAGAAGAGATGAGGGCACCAAATTCCAGATGATTCCAAACAGCACATATGTATGCAGTTTTCATTTTACCGCTGATCACATTTAGGCTACGTTTATTAGATGACAGTCTGAACAGAAGACGCAAAAGTGGCGACGCGTCTTCGCTTTTTGTTCCGCATTTAGACAAGCATTTTTGGGAGGAAATCTGCGTGTGTACGGTGATGTAAAAGTGTGTTTGTTTCTGTGTACTGTATGTATGTTAGGGTGACCAAACGTCGGTTTTTACCTGCACATGTCCGTATTTCACGTCCTGTCCTGGCTGTCCGAGTTTTTTTTTAAAGTGATGCAAATGTCCGGGTTTCCATTATCTTTCATTGGGCCATTAAATTGAGCGGCTCTCGTAGCTCTCTGTACACTCAGAAAGAGCGAGCAAACACAAACAGTCGGTCAGCCCGTAACATGCCGAAGCGCATTTCACGATGGCTTGTACAACAAATTCCCCGCTTTCTCTCCCGGTCAGGACAAGTGGGAGGACATGTGCACAGTGTACAAAGCAGACACATATGTTTCGATGTCCAGTAGGGGTGCCATGGACCTCAAAGCTCATCAGGACACCAGAAAACATTAAAAAGCTCAATGTCGATGTTGAGGCCCCACCTCCCAACCCTCGTACAGTGTCCTGGTTTTGACAAAAGGAAATATGGTCACCCTAATGTATTTGACATAAATGCGTATGCGACGTGAGCAGATCTGATCTGACCAGAGTTTTGCGTCTTGGGCAGTGTAGACAGACACCCTACAGCGGAGCGTATTCAACTTTTCCACTCTGGAGGGTGGTTTCAGATTTTCGTGGTTTTAAGCCCCAAAAGCGCCGTTACTGTCTAAATGAAAGACACTTCCGATAAAATATTTTGTCAATTTTACTCGCAAGCATTCTCGCGTAAACAGGCCCTCACTTCAGTGGGGTTTATCAAAGTCAGTCGGCGAGGCCAGTGTCGGGAACTACACCGGAAGTTGTCATTGCATCTTTCCAAACGTCTCCCTGGTTTGTGACGTAAGCTCATTTCGCATTTCAGGTCATTTAAACCCTCGCTGCGCTCCTCTTTTGCAGTGATTGCGTTTGTACCATGCTGATTTGTGCATTTTCCACTTGGCCGTGTTCAGTATTTGTGGTTTGAGGTGTGCTGAGAGTTTTTCCATTCACAGATTTGTACAAAAATGGACTTCGTCGCTCCGTTCTCCAGATGTGTCCAGTCTTGGTTGCTGTCACTTGCACAGTAGTTAGTTTGTTTCTCATGTTTATACCTTATGATGAAATGGCATTCAAAAGCATTTTATAATATTTTTATAAAGGAGTCGTGGACCAAAGGTTCAGAGATCTGGGTGGTGATTTTTAAATGTTTGTTGATGTTATTCTCAGAAACCTTTTGCGTTTCTGACACTGGATTTTTAAGGTGGATAAAGTAGACTAGACTTTTGAAGAGCTTTGTTCCAGATTGTAAAAGAAAAGTTGCTCAAGTACAGTTGAA